TCAATCATCTTGAATGAAGCTATCTGTAGTTATAAAATTGCAATGTTCATAGGAGGCATCGCAATATATTTCAATATTACATACATGTAGAGGTGTCATGGATACCCAATTTTGTTTTGACCCCCAGAATGACGCTCCCGGAACGGAACACGGAAAGAAAAAGCATTTCGGTTTTGTCCCGGAACAAGAAAATCTTACCCTTTCACAGCTTGTGGCTGCTAAATCGCGACAAAACAGTTTTTTTCAATTATTTGCATTCATTCTTTTCACTCCTTCTTCATTGAAGAGTTTTGAAGAGCTTTTTGTTACCAAAAAATTAATTTTTAAATAATACACCCAGTCACTGTTCCGAACCATTCCACAATTGTTCTGTTCCAAAGCAAAATGTTCTGAACTTAAAGTAACACATTAACGATGTATCTAAAATCTAAAACCTCAAAAAGTAATAGATACGACAATATGTTGTATAAAAGGAGATTTAAAAAAAATTGTGGCCGAGAGATAAATAAAAAAGACAAAAATCCATGGGCGCAACCGGGTTTCGAACCACTGGAAGCTCGATTAAAACCATCAAAACCTGGTGTTCAAGTCAAGCGCCCATATCCATTAAGCCACAGAGACATGTTAGAATAAGGGTGTTAATTTAAAGCTATATTATGAATTTTAGAAAACAGTCGAATCACTGCATAAGATTAAAATATATATCTAAGTAAATATTCTAAGCCAAAATCAGGATTAATGATGTAAATCCAGTTTTCATTTACATTGGGCGAAGTGACTAAATATAAACAATTTTAATCACAAATAATCAGAGAATAAATGATTATTATCTGGTTAAAACCTATTATCGAGACTATTATTGCTGGTTATCACTGATTATCGAGACTTATTAATCAACAATAACCAGTGTTTTAACTGGTTATTATGATAATCAATTCTTATCAATGTGTAGCCAATGGCAAAAATTCCAACTGATTATCAAGTCAAGTGATTATTATTTGTTTCATTAGGAATTAAGAACTGTTTGCCACTTATCCATTCAGTCCTTCCAATTGTTTACTGACAGTCAGAATCTGGCCACTGGCCGACTGTTTACTGACACTTAGAATCTGGCCACTGGCCGACTGTTTACTGACACTTAGAATCTGGCAACTGGCGGACTGTTTACTGACAGTCAGTTTCTGGCCACTGGCCGACTGTTTACAGTCAGAATCTGGCCATCTTTGTATTATCAATAATGGAAGTTCAATGAATTACGCTTCCGCTTTTACAACCAAATGGCTTATTTTTATTCCAATTCCCTTTTTTATTCAGATTCACACTTTCATTTGTAACATCCCCTAAATAATTACTAGTAAATTAATATTTTTATTTGTATTGAATGCATTTTGTATTTATTCATAATTTACAGTTTTATTGTAAATTGAATGTATACATTACATAAACACATGCACTTATTTGATTACTGTATTATATGTATTATATGAACCTTTTTTTGTATTTTCAGGAGTATAGTGGTGGTGGTTGTGCATGTGCTTGCTATATTGAGACTCTTCATTCTATTAATTTTGCTGGTTGTACCTGTGCTTGCTATACCTACTGTAGAGACTCACCCTTAGATCTGGTTGTACCTGTGCTTGCTATACCTACTGTAGAGACTCACCCTTAAAACTAGTCACTTATCTTGACACTAACTTATATAATCTTTGAACCTCCTTCATCACTATCTTATATGTACTTTGATTGGATTGGCACTTTCTATCAATATATACAAGTATGATAACATCAAGTACAATGTTGCGTTCATTTATTTGTGACTACAAATAAAATGTCTCATTAATGAGTGAATATGATGAAAGTATCTGTACTGTACTCCCTGTAATCAAGTAATATAGACCAAACAGCAGGGGTAATATAGGGTGTATTCGACGATATCATGACGATGATTCGAACATGAAAACTCACCAAAATGTTTCAAATATTCATTATTGTCCGCCACGGCCTGCCGTTATGATGTCACACATTACTCGTATTACTAGGGGTATTGGTCGCGAATATACACCGGGTGAAATGTTGACTTTGTTCACAGTTTATAGAAGGCGTGAATACAGTGATGTTCGAATTTAATATAATACCCTCGATTATAAGAAAATACTTATTCTATTCAGTAAACTTTTCAATCAAAATGAAATTGGCTTCATGTTAAACCAGAAGGTTTCAATCGCAGAATACATGTAGATGTGAAATTTCAAAATTGCGAAATAAATGGTATTAAATATTAGTTGGAGTACAGTTACGATTTACACAATTCAATTTAATGTAACATTTTGCTTGCTATAGATAGTACTGTAGTGTAGTATCTCTTTAATTTTAGAGCAAATTAGTTTACTAATAATAATATGTATATGTATACATGATGTATGACAATCTTTGATTTTATTTAGATATCCCATTACGGATACTGCACTCTTAAAATATGTCTGTTTTGGTAACAAATTGTAAGAACCGTGAAATAAGAGTTCTTATCTCTGGAAATGTAGGCAGAATTTCCAAAAATTGCCAGAAAAAAAATTGCCAGAAAAGAAGCTGATAAATATTTTTCAGACAAAATGTCACTACCTAAAAAAATTTGGTAAATTTAAAACAAGTTAGAAAGACCTTTTTGACCTTATTTGAGCTTGAGAAGGTCAAGGAAGGTCACATATAAAATCTTAAATCAGATTTGAGCTTCTGAGACCTCGTAAATGATTTTGAAAAAAAGATTGGTCAATTTGAAGCAAGTTGAAAAAAGACCTTTTTGACCATTGAATGTCAAATCTCAAATCAGATATGAACTTTTGAGAACTCGAAAATGATTCGGGAAAAAATTGAAGTCTGTCTAAACAATATTTGTTAAGTTATTGGAACTTGTAAGAAATTGTTACAGACGCCAACTGCGTGACACCAACTACTGGACGCCGTCACAAAAAACGAAGACCATAACAATATGTCACATCAATTAGTAATCTGATGCATATTTATCAGCTTCATCTCTGGCAATTTTTGGCATGAACTGAGCTGATGTCAAATTAGAATGGAAGAAAATATGTGATTTTGCTACATCCTCAGTCCATGGGATACTCAAGTATAATACTCCCCAGTATTTAATCAATTAAAAAATTAATAAGTTTAAAAGATAAAAAAAATATTTTGAGTATTAGACTAACATTTGAAAAAAGGTTACCTCTTTTCTGTCCTTTTACCTCCTCAAGCCTTTCTAAATCTTCTCCAGTATCCCATTCAATTTCGTCATCAGACTCATCAGATCTCTAAAAGTTATATTTAGGTCTGCTTTAATTAAGAAATATAGACCGAAGAGCAGGGGTAATATCGTTGAATACACCCCGCAGGGCTAGGCACAAACGTTTTCTGTACCCTGAATGACCGAAAGCTTTTGTGCCAAGCCCTAAGGGGTGTATTCTACGGTATTACTCCTGCTCTTATGGTCTGCCATTACTATGGCCCACCGTTTATATGATGTCACACATTACTCGATTTATCAGGGGTACTGGTTGCGAATATACACCGGGTGAAATGTTGACTCACAGTTTATAGAAGGAGTGAATACAGTCATATTCGAATATGAAATATTTTTTTATTTAAAAATGTACAATGTGCATCAATGATGCAAATAGTATATAAAATAAATGATAGAAATTTGCCACTTCAATTTTTCTATATTTGACTCATTTTGGATCTTCTGACATTCATTCAATCTAACTAGCCTTATAGTACACTTATGTACGCACATTTTCATCATCTGTCTCATCCACCTCCATCTCATCCACCTCCATTTGAATATAGTCCTCCTCTATCACCTCCTCCAACACCTACACCAGTCTCACCTACAATGATAATAAATGTACATGTATAACTATAACTAAACTGCAGCACTGTACATGTATATCTAACTGGTGATTTGATGGGATAGAACATAACCATTGTATCTAGTTCAATCAGTTAAACCTGTTCTCTGGGTCTAATTCCGAAGTAGAGTCAATAGCAAGAGATACTGGCCCAATCGTGGCCATGTTAAAAAAGTCTGGCGCAACCGTGGTACACTGTAACATATTTTCTGGTACAACCATAGGATTTTATTTGTAGCCTATAGGCTAGCTATAAATTGTATGTGACAATCCGGGGTGAAAATAAAGTTGTGCTGGGCCTTCGTAAAAAATATGTACCAAGGTTGCACCATACTTTCACAGTGGCCACTGTTGCACCATACTATCTTGTGCAATTGACCGTAGGTGCAGGATTGATATTTGCACAGCCAGCCTAGGACCTCCATCAAGCTTAACACGAAACCCCAGCCACAGGTCCCCCATAAATCCCTCCCCCTCTCAGCGAGATGATGTAAACGGGTCTGTTATGGTGGGTTATATGTGAAGGTTGGAAGGGGCTTCCATGAACAGATGAATGATACTAGCTAAACTTATTCGAACCCGACTGTAGAGATCATTGATAGCTGAGAGTGAGACTGAGTGACAGGAGACCTACTAGAACGAAATCGCCAAGATCGAAGATGAAAAAAATCAGCAGAAATTTTAGAATTAAATTTGCAAAAAAAATCCACGATGAAGTAACTCACCTGTGTTTTGTAAGCTCCGTGGAGGATGATTTTATGTAAAAAATTGAATAAATCACATGAAATTTGCCAGAAAAGTATTGCGTTTGTTCATTTGTTTGTTTTGGTTTGTTCCTGCTCACAACCTAAATTACTACGCATCATAATATAATTGCAGCGCTACTCAATGATTGTTACTCGATTTAAGATGTTAAATATAAAAATAAATGAATAAATAAGTTACACTCAAAACCTGAAATAGTTGTTTCTTGATTTTTTGTTTATAAAATATGCAACTGAGGGTATTAGCGGAAAAACTACTTCTAGATCAATGCGTGTGGGACTACTGGAACTATTTTAGACGCACTTTCACTTTCGATTTGAAACAGCAAAAATGTGGACGATTGAACAAGGTGAACAAGATGGTTCTTTTTATATTGCGGTAAATGGCGCGAAAGCTGTCTCATACATTGATGGGAAAGAATTTGGCCAAATAATAGAGGCATCATGTGGGAGAAGTGCCTCGGAAATTTACGTAAGTCACGTTCGGTTTTTCAATTCACTTTCGTTTTTTTTGTTTCTTGGCCTGATGTGTTTCTTGTCCCTATCTGTAATTTCCATATATTGTCCATTTCCCACCAATGTTTGGCGCATGTATTGATTTGCAATCCTTCTTATTCCAGCTAAAGGTAGAAAACCAACATAAAGCTGTTAAATTTGACATACTACAGTGTCAAACGCCAGAACTAAAATCAAAAAATGCAAGTGAATTTGTGAAAAAACTGCAGACAAAAGGAATAGCGAGAACGAGACAAAAGAAGAGGTCGTTACAGGAGATGCTTGAGCCCAATCCAAGTCTCAGTGGGGTGAGTTTACCACCAGCATCAGCATCTGCGCCATCACTACAGATGCATGCCCTTGATAAATCCATATCGGAAAAAGAAATTGGTAATGCACTTATTAACTGTACTTAACCTAAATACTATAGGCTTACCTAGAACATTGCAATGTTATGATTGTCCAATAACTGTTTGTCTAAATTATACCTGTATACTAGTAATAATAATCTATGAAACAATTATTAAAAATGCCATTACACAGTGTATAACCCAAACGCTCCTACATGTACGACGGAGCGTTACATTTACGCTGAAACGCTCCGGAGCGAAATAAAATGGCCGCTAATGAAGATTCTACTATGACCGTAAGTATTGTTTCTCTTGTTTCTCTTACATATCATATGTCATGGTGAAATATTATGTACCATTCGATGAACAATACCGTGAGTAAAGATCTTATTTATTCAACTTCTGGTGGTAAACTGTTATTTGCTTGATCAAAGCTCCGTAGTGTAGATCGAACGAATCTGAAGATGACGTTTTGACCACAAATTACGAATTAAACTAGTATTTCTATGAAAACGTTAATCTTTCTGTTTAAGTAGTAGATCACAAACTCGTATATTCTCATTTCCTAAAATCCCAGTCCAAATCCATTACTTGTTCTCAAGAAATCGCTTGTTTTCCTCAAAACGCTCCGTCGATTTAGACCACAATTTTAGAAACGCTCTTACCATTTTGTTTTGATATCATTTTCAGATTATTAGAGAAGAGTTCCGAATCGAATCTATCTCTCAAAAACGTGTTGTACTTGTTAGGCAAATTGAAACATCTGAACCTGGTGGTGCTAAACGTGCAACTAGCTGATTAAAGCCTATACATTAGATGATGTCATGCCTACATATGTGCTAAATCATAAAACTATAGAAAAAAACGAAAAGTTATATGTGAATTAATCTTTCTTCTATTGATGCCAAGGGGTATAATAGATCTTTTCTTTCTCTTCCTGAAAAGGAAAGGCAAGCTATATATTTCCTTAACTGATCTAGACTACCAGAGCGTTTCCAATTCACTGTGTTAACCAGATCGGAGCGTTTCTTGAATATGAGAATGTCATCATTTTTAAGACTGGATTTTCGGTCATCAAATCACTATTACGATAATGTATGGTGCGTTGAAGCATTGGAATTTGACTTAAATATACGTTGGTGCTCTATTCTTGGCTCAACTAATCACATGTATCGACAAAAGGGGTTTTGACCGGTAGAATGACAAATACGTTTTTGAATTTTGATAACTATACTGCTTCGTACAGCTCTTCCTAATTGCTTCAAACGTCAACAGCCAGCCACGTACAACATGAATATCACACCCATCGAATGGTATACTCGAAATATGTAACTCATACCTCTTATTCCCATTATTGGGGAAATTGTCAGACGGCTCATCATTCCCGCCAGACAGTTTTCCTACTCCGGAGCGTTTCTTTGTTTAATTTCAGTAATGAAACGCTCCGTCGTGCATGTAGGAGCGTTTGGGTTATACACCGTGCATTAGATCTATGGCTTTTATTATGACATGAAACTTTCTATAAACCACCATTGCTTCTGCTAAAATGTTCACCTGTGTAATTTATAAAGGAATCTTCAACCTCCAACCAGATGACCTATAAGAACCACCCCCTAGCCTTTCCGTAAGGCCAATTTCGGAAAATCATGTTATGGTATGTTTTCTCTGTTTGAATGTACACTGGTGAGAGTCTGTTTGAATGCACACTGGTGGGAGAATCAGTACCTGTTTGAATATACACTGGTGAGAGTAGGTATCTGTTAGAATGCACACTGGTGAGAGTCTGTTTGGATGCACACTGGTGAGAGTACGTATCTGTTAGAATGCACACTGGTGAGAGTCTGTTTGAATATACACTGGTGTGAGAGTATGTACCTGTTTGAATGAACACTGGTGGGAGAATCAGTCTGTTTGAATGTACACTGGTGTGAGGGTACGTACCTGTTTGAATGTACACTGGCGAGAGTCTGTTTGAATGTACACTGGTGAGAGTCTGTTTGAATTTACACTGGTGAGAGTACGTATCTGTTAGAATGCACACTGGTGAGAGTCTGTTTGGATGCACACTGGTGAGAGTACGTATCTGTTAGAATGCACACTGGTGAGAGTCTGTTTGAATATACACTGGTGTGAGAGTATGTACCTGTTTGAATGAACACTAGTGGGAGAATCAGTCTGTTTGAATGCACACTGGTGTGAGGGTACGTACCTGTTTGATGTACACTGGTGAGAGTCTGTTTGAATGTACACTGGTAAGAGTCTGTTAGAATGCACACTGGTGAGAGTCTGTTTGGATGCACACTGGTGAGAGTACGTATCTGTTAGAATGCACACTGGTGAGAGTCTGTTTGAATATACACTGGTGTGAGAGTATGTACCTGTTTGAATGAACACTGGTGGGAGAATCAGTCTGTTTGAATGCACACTGGTGTGAGGGTACGTACCTGTTTGAATGTACACTGGTGAGAGTCTGTTTGAATGTACACTGGTAAGAGTCTGTTAGAATGCACACTGGTGAGAGTCTGTTTGAATATACACTGGTGTGAGAGTACGTATCTGTTTGAATGTACACTGGTGAGAGTCTGTTTGAATGAACACTGGTGTGAGGGTACGTACCTGTTTGAATGCACACTGGTGTGAGAGTACGTACCTGTTTGAATGCACACTGGTGAGAGTCTGTACATATTAGAATGCACTCTGGTGTGAGAATCTGTACCTCTCAGAATGCACCCTGGTGTGAGAATCTGTACCTGTTGGAATGCGTTTCAAATATTAGAATGCACACTGGTGAGAGTGAGACTCTTTTTGAATGCACACTGGTGTGGGAGTCTGTACCTCTTAGAATGCACACTGGCACAGTGCTAATTTAAATTGCAAATGATTCTAGTAATCTAGCTTTGAAGTTTGGTATACTTTTTTGTGGACGCCCTATATTATTCAAATGGAGCTTTCAGCTTTCCAACGGTGTATCAGAACCTCAGTGCTTAGCGTACTTAGAGGCTCTATTTTGCAAAGGTACACCAGAATAATGGAATAACACACGATTTCTTTCAGTCGTTTGCAATACAAAACTCCTTGTCAAAACGTTTCATCTACAACTTTAATCTGTTATCTTTGTATCCTTTCTTAAAGCTTCATTGACATGTTGAGCATGTACATGTACCCTTTATTTGTAGGACATCGTTGAGAGATTACATCAAGTCCCATTGAGTCCTACAACAATCATTCCTGTTTTAGCAACTAAGATGATGAATAATGGGTCTGAAGACAAAGAGGATATAGCGATGCAATTGTTATCAAAGCCCGAAAACTTTCACTTTGTGGCCCTCGGTGGCAATCATTTGAGACGAGCCATTGTACATATACAATCAAGTTTCAAAGATGGCTATGAGCAACTGACGTAAGTATGAACAGATTCAATTAAATTCATAAAATGATCTTTTACTTACATTCGATGAGTTAAAAAATAATAGCTTGGTAAGTGAAAAAATATGCATTCTGAATAATTATATTTATTGATTATGAAATATTAAATTTTGTATTGTGAAATCATCACAAAATAGCAATTTCGTTAATGTTAATTTCTAATATAATGTTTATAATTGCTATCTATAACATCTATCCACATATCTCTAGGGTATTACGATGCAGAGTGTTCATGGACTTAACCGAAATGGAAGCTAGAAGAGTGGCGAATTCCCAAAACAACAGTCAAATTTCACTGCCCGTCACATTTCAGGTTCGGGTTTTTAAAGACTGAATTGTTATCACTATGAATAATTGATTCATCAAGAAACCACACTTCTATTTGTGATTTTATTTCAAATATGATATTACTTTGACAGTATAATTTATTATTCAATGATGTCAAGATTATTTCTAGTCGCGACTATAGTATATTATACAACTATATATCTATTTCAGGACAGAGCCAGGCAGGCGCAGTATTTGTTCAATAATGGGGGTGCACGTCAGCTGAGGCTGGTGCAGTCTCTAGGTTTGCCAGATGTAAGTTCCAAAGAATTGCTAGATATTTGCGAAATATAACAGTACTCAAAATTACTTTAAATTTAATCATGATCTGCCAAACTACCATGACTCAGCGATGGTTTGTCAAAGTACCATGTCTCAGTAAGGATCTAACTAATAGCAAATTACCATGTCTCAATTATGATCTTTTATTGTACGATATTTGTTGCCATTTTTGCGTACACATACTGTAGAGTACATAGAAGATGCGCCAGAATGTGATGTCGTTAAACATTCTCGTTGGACATGCACAGAGATCTGAACTAATTGGGCCATTATATACAGTACTGGCGGTAGGCTCAATATTTTGTGTGTCACATGATACAGTTCAATCAAGTGAGTCAAACTTGGAAAATGTGGGTCAATTATGAATTATGATAATAAAGCTCATTTCAGATAAATCTAGAGCACAAAAATAAATGTGGTGCAATGAGACTTCATATTTTGTCAAACTTGCACACTGCAAAGGCAACCTCCTTTTGTAGAAAATTCATTGTTTTTATGATGCAAGTGACTTTTGCCATGATTTAAGTATCGCAATAATGAAACATAAACCAAATCAATGGAAAATGACCAAATAAAATCCAAATTGTAAACCGGAAGTCATGAGTGTTACGCACTTTCAGTCTAATAACAGTATTCAGTGGGCAGCGCGCGTGGGCATACGATGCCGATTATAGCATCGTCCTGCAGAAAATTTTGAATGAGTTGATGCTTTAAGGATTTTTTCACATTTCGAGAATTGCAAACAACGTACCCGACGAATTCAGTTTCGTTGTTTCTGTTTGGTCGATCGGCATAAGTTTTTAAACCAATATAAGATAATTGTGCGTCAGTGAAACGCAATGAGTTGAAAATTCTATGTCAGACTTGACCAAATATGCGTAAAAACAGTAAAAAATGGCGTTAACGCCAGCTCTGATATAGAGTACTTTAAAATCAATCATTGTAACCATGCATTAAGGCCTATGAATTTATAGGCTAGGCTTACTTTTGTAATGTTCACTTCTAAGATTTAGCCATATGATTGATTGTTTTCAAGATACCAACAACCTAAAACATGTATAATCGTTAGTGTTAACAACGTCTTAGCCTATATATTTAAAAAATTACTTCTTGAGTTATACCATTGTAATTTTTAATATTAGTAATAATTGTTGTCTATAATGTTTTCTCTTTTACCTTATTTTAGATTTGCATAGGGCTAAGATTTTTAGCCAAGGTGACCACTACACCACAATGGCTGACAGCATGGGGGTGTGTGCTGCTACAATATGTAGATGTATACATAGTGTATAACAGCAGTTGTTCAAAGTTGCGGAGAGATTCTTTGAACTCCCAAAAGATGAGGAAATCCAGCAGGTATGCCTTAAATTTAGAAATACTATTATCTTTGAGAAAATCTTTTCCAATCACTTGAAAAATCATTAGAAAGCTTCTAAAAATAACAAGGTTGTCACTCTTTTTCAGATCAAAAAGTCATTTTATGAACTGGCTCAGTTTCCAAATGTAATTGGTTGTGTAGACAGTACACACATCCGGATTGTTGCAACCCACAATGACGAAGCCCTGTATGTCAACCGGAAAGGATATCACAGTATAAACACCATGCTAATGTGCAAAGCAAATCTAGAAGTTACAGCAATGGCAGCAAGATGGCCGGGTTCTGACCATGGCCGGGTTCTGACCATGGCCGGGTTCTGACCATGGCAACACTATCATAAACATGAGTTTATGTCTACAATCTGGATTGCAGTTGAAAGCCAATAACATTGTTGTATATTTTTAACAGGCACTTATATTGAATAGTGTCTGCAACTATATACGATGATTGCAAGGGTTAAAACAACACGTAGATCTTCAAGAGGAATATTCTTCAAGCGAGGAAATCGGCTTTCGAGCAGAGCCCTTATTCACAAAGCATCGCAATTTTTAGCGATTGCTATTGCTATGCGATAGCGATATAGCAATAGCAATGACGTTTTGCGCGGTATTCACAAAAGCGCGCTAAAGCCTAGCAAAGCAATCGCTATCGCAAACAGGTAGCAAACATATCGCAATTATAAATAAATACAATTTTATTAATTAGCACAGTAACTCGCACCTTGTAATTAGCTAGGGCTATTAGGCTACGTCAAATACACAAAGGCGTTTCAAATGAATGTCATTATAAAATAAAAACGTGTAAGTAATTTGAAAGTTGTTTTGTTTGCTTGTTTAAAATACATTTATTGATTAAATATTAATAGTAGGCCAAGTGCTGCTAGCAATCTTGTCACCCCTCCAGCTCAGAGTCTGCCTTTAATGGAACTAGGGTAAAATCAAGACACAAATAGTCTAGTCTATTATGTCACTCACTATATGGTGCCATTAAACAATTAAAATGAATGGTGCGTTTTAAAGAATAATCAAAATAATTTAATAATCAAAGTTGTGTATGGGTACTCATCAAATAAAATAAAACGATAATCATAGGCTATATCATACTGTCATATACAATGTAGGCGTATCTTGAAATACTTAGGCTAAATGCATGTGCAGTTGCACTCAAGTTGTGCACGAAGTCATGCACCTTGACTTTGTGCGTGAATTTGCAGCGTGTCACTTTGCAGCGCAAGGTCAACAATTACGTCATTGCTGCAAAGTGACACGTTGCAAAGTAATATGCTGCAACCAAAATGCAATGTACATTCGTCTTAACGCATTATCATTCATAATAGATTATCATTATTATTAAATATGAATATTATAGAAGACACCATTTGAAACCATAGGCCTAATTTGTACGACATGATAGTCCGACTATAATTAATCCTAAGCTATATATGTAGGCTAAATGGTTGCAAGAAGACCAATCCTTTGTGCATGAGGGCCTTGGATTGCCTTTGATTTTCCCGGGCATATTTCAAAACCAGTTCACCAGGGGCTCGCGCTTTCTTTATATAGATGCTGATGGCCATACGTTTTTTGTGTATATGCATTATTTGTCAATCATTGCAACACCTACAAGATCTCGCTACTCCGAGGAACAACTGGACATGCTCGTGTCACTAGTTGAAAAAGTTGGGATGTATTAGATGGCCCCCTTGGAGTCACTCGACTACACACGTCGGCAATAGGGACAAAATTTGGTCAAACATAGCTAATAAAGTGAGCGCAGTAGGGCCATCACCATGGTCGGCAGAAAAGATTCCGGTAGGCTCAAAGGACTTGTTAGAGCTATTCGAATCAAGGTTATATATTAGATTATATCTAGTTTACAATGTGCAGTTACCTGCAAAACCAAATAGTCTCAGGGAATGGTCTAAACTTAGTTTATTTAAATCGGAATATTTTTCAGGGTAAATGGCGAGATGTTACAAGTAGGACAAGAATGAAGGCAAATAGGATAAGAGCGAATGCTAACAGAACGGGTGGCGGTCCTGGCGTGAAGTTAGAGGTATTAAGACCCCTAGAAGAGCGTGTCATAGGCCTCTTGGAACACACTCGGATCTATGGGATGGAAACAGATGGGATAGATAAAGCAGATACGGCGTATGTCGCAGTGCCAATGTCGACCGAATCTCACAAAGAGTCCCAACAGACCATTTGTGATGAAGAAATAGTGGTCAGCGTAAGTTTTTATTCATTTTGGTTTTTCAATACTATTACATTGAATTAAGAAAAATGCTTTATTTTCTCCATCATCAGAGATTTTACTTTTTAGCCTAATTTACGCACAATAATGTCCCGATAGACAAGAAATGGTTCCTTTACACCTTGACTTTGTTTTGTTCATGTCGATCCTAACTATAAGAATAGAAAAAAGTAAAATATTATCTCAATAGCTTAATTAAATGAAGGTACATATGGATTTATATTTTTGTAAACTATCTTCAATTTCAGCCGAACGAAGTTGCCGCAACGCCGAGTGAAGATACATGTAGGCCTACATCAAAGCCAGATGAACCATCATTCATCCAGTTAGAACCTGTGCCATCTGGCGAAGCCTTCAAAAGGCATATAGACCCGCAACAATTGCAAGCTCCTTCAACTAAGCTAAACATTGCCGAAGCAGTGTGTATTCTTTAGTCAACGATACGGCACTTATAATGCCATGTTATACATTAACCAATCACCATTAATATAACAGTTCTCATTTTACAGGTCGCTTCATTACTTTACATCAGTGTTTACATATTTGATCCAGTTATTTTGTAGTTTTTCGTACGGAAATTTGTATTATTCATTCATAATCACCCATAGACTTCCACGCCCATCTTAATAAAGACTCAAGGACGTTAATTTTGAGTGCTTTCAAATAGATGCCTAGCTGACGGAGAATCCGAGTTAAACATTTACTGCTTAATATTGAAATTGCATGCCGGTAACCCAACAGAAAACAGAGATAACAGAAATTGACTTCATGGCTTAAAGTTCTCCGGATTTTCCGGCCATTTCCGGAATTAATGAGCCAGAATTTGTCCCCATTGAGAATCCGGGTCGATATCTGGGGGGGGGCGGGATTCCCTAGGTAGTACTTACCAGTCCACCATACGTTAACTCTCTAGATTTCCTTGATGATTCCCCGGGCGATTCCAATCTCTTTGTTGTTGTTTATATAATTTGCATAATTTATGTTCGTCATTGATCCGAATGTGAACATCGTGTTTTCCAAGCAATAATTTATGTTCGGAAATGACTTTATTTGGAAGTCGTAATCTTCCGTGTGTTTCCGTAATGTACCCCCAGCGAAGTTAAAAATGGATGTCGAAGAAGGGGCAGACCTCTCCCGTCACGAAGCCTTGGTTAAAAATAAATGGAGGTGGGACTGGTTGGACGAGGAGGGAGGGGATGGGACCAAGATAATGAGTTGGTGCCGTAAGGTGTCGACTCCTGGGGAGTGTTCGTGCACCATTTGCCCGAAAACCATAAAATATGGCTCGAGCGGGAAGAAATCGCTTGTTGGTCACAGTAGTGATTCACGCCACCAGCGTAGACTGAAAGGTACGTTTGGTTTTTAATAATTCTTGACAGATGAGGTGTAATATTTGTTGTCAGTTCGTTGATCAAATAGCAGTGTTCTTGTGTTGTCAAATAAATGAAGATATGCGTTAAATCGAAAACAATATGGCGCCTCCCTGGCCTGACATGTATGAAGGTGAAGGTTAATATTTGCATACCAAGCCCCGCCTCTTCTGACCATATATGGTGTACATAGTAAACAAATCGTAGTAAAGTTCATTCATGTACCTGTACTAGTATTCATTTTACGTTGGCTTACAATTACATGTACTCGTATAGAATTGCCAAGGCACAGTTGTAATTTTATTTGAATTACATACTAGAATAACATGAATTAAACCTGTTGTTGATTTATCCAACTTGATATAGATCTATACACTCCATAGTGAAATGAAAGCCAACATGACTGCTTATTTGAAAATAATTCAAGACACTCAGATATCATAATCTACATCACTCAATTACTCAGTAGACAGGTAGATGAATAAAAAACGTGTCAGGAATTCTATTTACCACTTGTTTGACAAAATATGTGATACATTAGTGACATTATTTCCTCCTTTTTGCCATCCATTCCTCAAGGCATATTATCTTAATGGTTCCACATGCATTCTCTTGTCTTGCATTCATCAACTCAAGCATATATTTACTGCTTCCTCACTCTCTATTGTGAAATAACTTGACTAAATCATAACTTACGATGTTACAATATGTTACAATAAATAATTTTCAAGTACAATGTGAACAAAAATTAAATAAATTGTACTTGTTTAGGCCTAAATTTTATAAATTATTTCAGATGTGGCACTCACAGCACCGTTACCTGGCATGGTTATAGTACACGGAACCCCTAAAGTGGTAAAAGCACAAACAGCAAATTTTGTGCCAACAAAATTAGAGAGGATAACAGATATAAAACTTAAAACTATCGGCTTCATAGCAGAGCAAGATTTACCATTCACATTAGGCCCAAAGCTGATTAAATATGCCCAGAGTTTGTCACAGTATAAACCCGCATTAAATGCTACATCAATGTCGAACCAGCAAACAAGTTATTTAACCAATCATGGACTTCCTGACATTGAAGGATGAAATTAGAAAAACTTTGGGAAATGATTAAGTTTTCATGAGCTTGAACATTGACGAAGCAACTAATGAAAAAAATGAAAAAGTAAAAATATCTTAATTAGGTATTTTGATGAGGAAAAAGATATGATTATAACAAAGCACTACAGTGCAATACCATGTAACATTGGAGGGGCAAAACAGTTCTTGGATGAAACATTAAAGAGCTTAATTAAGCGAGTGTGAGATCTCAAGTAATCAAATAATCAGTTGCCTCTTCGATAATTGCAACATGATGCTCTGGCAAAAAGGGTGGTGTAGAGACACTTTTCCGAGAAAAAAACAAATACTTACTAGATGTGAGTGGTGACACAGTGCATATGGTGAACAATTGTGCTAAACAATTAATGAAGCCCCTGGAGGATGAGTACCAGTTTCAAGACATTTTTCTAGACATGTACTATGATATTGAAAAATCCCCAAAACAATCAGAAATTTTTAGTGAAATCCAATCTCTGATTCTTAAAAGAGATCAGTACAAGCCATTGAAGCGGCTCATTAGCAGTCGTTTTCTGCAGCTTCGTGATGTATCTGAGAGAGTGATAGAGCTTTGGGATCCACTTACTGTATATTACAGTAGTTACCTGGATGAAGGGGAAGAGCGTCGTGTCAGGTTAATTAAACATACATTTTATGTCACCACCTTGATTAAGGGGCTTCTTGACTACCTTTGGTATCTAGTAAGAACTGGGGCAACCTTAGATTCCCAAAATTACTTCATTAATTAAAATTACGTCATTAATCAAACCACACTGATCAGCGCAAAATTAATGCCAATTACATGTATTACGATTGCACTGTAAACAACTTTTAACTGACCTTTTAGTGCAGCTTAGATAATTGCTGCCTTATGAAATTATGTTTGAAGATTTTCATTGCAGTTTATATTTTCAAATGCCTATGTTTCATCGTGAATATTTTTCTGTTTTTTCTCAGAGAGCTGCTGGAGCCCATTTTCAACACTTATAAAACATCAGATGGAGAAAAGCAAAGAATCCAAGAGATACAGTTGGGCCTTAAGAAAGACAGAAAGTCACATACTGGCAAAGATCGCAAGGAATCCATAGTAGTTGCATTAATAGATAATGTCACTCGCACCAGATGTATTCTGAACACATGCAGAGGTACTTTGTTTTCTTTTACTCATTTCAATATATTCCACTTGCTTGAGAATCTGTAATTCTGATCATATATACATGTACCTGTGTACATTTAGTAAAAAATAGATATTGGTCTATTAAGCAGGAAGTCCAGATATGGTCTAAAATAGAATGTAGATATTTATGAATAAAATGTGTATATTGATAATCTATTCCATATATATATGAATAAATCTATATTCTGCATTAAATTTAAATGTATTTTCAATATCAAATGTACATATATATGTATATTCTGACCATATAAAGGTAAATAAAATGAGAAATGAACAAACAGTATGAATAATATAAAAATATAATTGTTAATGTTTGATATTGTCATACATTGAAAATAATTAAATATAGCAGACTTATATTTAATCTGTATTTACAGCATAAAAGCCAAATAAAAGCTGCAATATTATACTACTTCGGTCATGTTATACTTTTATGGGAAAGGAAACAGCAACATCTGGGAATTCTTAAGAAGCAGCAACATTGTATCAGAGACTGTTCAATAGGCCTATTACACTGACATAGTCATGTAAAAACCTTGTTCGTGATAAATAAAATGCAAATGGCGAAGCATACTAAGCACATTTTTCTGTTTATCCATACGCTTGTGGACAAGATATCTCAAGAACACAATTTTTTAGTTTAATTTTCAACATTTAGGTCATCTTTGTTTTATTTTTTCTTGTGAAAATACAATTTTTTCTCAAAATTTGAATGTATTGTTTATGGGTTTACATGCTCTTAAATAGCACCAAATCAAGTTTCAATCTAAAATTTTCTTTCCCCAAACCCCCCTTTCGCTTTGCACACGCCTTCCGCCTTCAAATCTTCAGGAATTTTGAAATTTTGTGCTTTAAGCCATGTGACTTTGACACTTTTATGAAATCGTTTCACGATCCATATGCCCTTAATAACGCCCATTCATTGGTATTTGAAAAATCCCCAAAATTCTCTTAGAAGCAGAAATGGATGCTCTCATAGGGAACAATATAAATGTATGGAAGCGGCGATCAAGAACGGCAAAGAACAAAAGTACAATAAAAACCTGTAACCGGCTGTATCAGAACTAGGATGAAGAACATTTATTTTTTATTTCTTCATCCTATGTCAGAATCTCACAAAAATATCCTGATTATAATCTATTTTTAGGCATGACCGCATTTGAGGCAGAAGTTGCAAGGATCGAAAAGCAAAAGGCTGATTCCTATGAGAGAATTGCTATGGCAATGGAATGCGCTGTCATTTCATAACACTGAATAGTTTTAAATTATAAGTCTATTTGACATCATAATACCAATTGTCTTTGCTAGTATGCGTTGCAATGAAGGGGTGCACATTATATTAAAGTATTTCCCTAATGATGGAAGGTTTTCAAAGTCAGGAATTATATCTCTAGCTCTTTGAAAAAGGTTAAAACGTAATGTTTCATGTAAGGGACAGTCAATTAGAAAGTGTTGCTCGTCTTCAATAGACTCATTTGCACATGAACAAGTCCTGTCTGCAAGGGGAGTGGCACTGTATCTTCGGTTTCTATTTTTAATGGAAGTGTCCCTGATTGTATCTGGGCTATGTTACTAATCTTTGTTGTTTGCTTAGTGTCAAAGTAACATAACTCTGGCTCTAAAGCATGACGCTTATGGATCCTGTAAGTCCGCAATTTGTTGCCATTCACTGGGTTGCGCCGATCGTTCCAGAGTTCCTTGAACCAGAGATCATTGTGGATTTCCACAAGCCATTGTTTGACAAGCGCGAGTTTACGTTTGACCCCACACACTGGTCCGGCTGTAATTAAATCATCGGAGTTGCAGTCTTTTAACATGTCTTGAATCTTAGTTTCCCATGAACCTTGTTCGTGAAGCGCCCATTGATGTATTTTCTTCGTCAGTCTGGTGTCTCGCAGATTCTTAAGACGGAACCAGAATTGGGTCATTTCAACTTTGATTTTGGTGGTCATTGATGCCCAGCATATATCGCCTTGGGTTGCCGTATTGGGAGCATGTTGCCCTACTCCTAGGAAGAATCGGCACGCCTTGTTCTGTACGATAGTAGATGCGTTTCTGGCCTATTTAGTTAAGCCAAGGCTAATAGTCCAAACATTGATAGTTTATAGGGCTACTACTCATGATTAAAAACACTGTGAGAAAATGTGATTTTATCTCCACATACCCACATATTACGCTGGCCACCTCGTGTACTATTCTTGAAACAGATGGCTGGCTTTACTTTACGGAGTTTGGTGAAATAGACCCCATTGTTTCCTGCTGTTTAAATCCGTAGGGATTTACACCATAATTGGGATTAACCTATTTTTTACACTACATAAAGCGCACCTATTCAAAAGATTAAGCTGATAAATTGAGAAGCAATACTCACTTATTCTAATTCTGATGTCAGACATGTGTAAATATTTTCTTTTAGAAGAACATTAGATTTGTTTTTGGAACCTACTTTTTTCTTGAAAATCTTAAAATATGACTACTCTTAGAAAATGATAAATTAAAATACTTATTTGTTGTTCAGATTTTCTAAGTGTTATATGAAATCAAAGTTTAGGATCAAATTAACCCTTCTCGAACGGCACGCGTATATATACGCGTTTGGTTCATGACGTCAACAACATGTGTACATAAGTCATAGTATCGAAATAAACTATACAATACTTACAAAAATGCATTCTTGTGAACTTCTTTTTTCAAATGACATCGATCTGAGGTGATATAAATGCCCATTAGCGGCATAATACATGAAAATCAAAAAAAAATTAAAAAGTTTTAAAATTTTGTAAACCGGAACAGGAAGTTGAAATGTAGGTCACAACAATGGCGGCGGAAAATATCAGGCCTGGATTATTTGAGGTTTTCCTTGATGCAGACAGCGATTTTGACTCAGATAGTGACACTAGTGATGAAGAAAATAATATGGATAATGATTATGTTGCCCCGGAGGCTCCTCGGGATTGGCAGTCAACAAATTCAGTGCGTTTTGAACGTTTTTGCAAAAATTATCCTTTTACTCCAGGTTTGAAAACTGATCGGCCTCTAACAGAGATTATGGCTAAATTTATGGAGATTGAAGAGCCGTCAGTGAAAGATTATGTGGATTTGTATCTTACAAATGAAATTTTGAAGGATATTAAAGAAGAGACCAACCGCTATGCACAACAATATATGGATATCCATCCAAATATGCCTGAGAAAGGCAGGCTTGTGAAATGGAAACCTGTAACAGTAGAAGAAATACAGGTATTTATATGCATGATAATATCTATGGGAATTGTAGTTCAGGATGATCTTAATGATTACTGGACAACTAATCCAGTTATTACTACACCATTCTTTGGACAACTCATGTCACGAGATCGTTTTATGAATATTTTGAGCTTCTTGCATTTAGTTAATAATGCAACCCTAGATGGTAATGTTAGAGGCAGGGCTGGTTATAATCCATTAGCCAAACTGGGAACATTTTATCCTAAGATTGTGGCCTCATTTGGAGAAGTTTACACACCACATCAGGATGTCTCACTTGACGAAGAAGTTATTAAATTTAAGGGGATTACGCATCTAAAAGTTTACAGTCCGGATAAACCAGACAAGTACGGATTGCGTGGCTACAAACTCTGTGATGCCAAAAATGGATATTGTTTGACTCATGAAATTTATGGAGGGAAGAATTTGCAGCCTGTTGAGCATGGCTTAACAGTGGATCTTGTGATGAGATTGATGGATCCATATTTGAATAATGGACATCGCATTACTGTTGACAACTATTATACGTCACCAACACTATTTACCATGCTATTAGAAAACCAAACTGGTGCAACTGGAACCTTGCGTTTAAATCGCCAGGGAGTGCCACAGCAGTTGAAGGATCAACGGTTGTTAGAAAAAGGTATTACACTGCTATTGTAGAGAAATGTCAGTATACTGTAAGCCTCCTTTGTATGACACGACATACCTTGACAGATTGCATCATGTTGAGTTTATGATTGGGTACTGTATATGATCATTGAGTTTACACGTAAGATGATCACAAGAATTAGATCAACTGTTACACCATATTCAATATGTTGCAAATTCTGAAACTTTTTAGTATGTCTAATATTTATTATATTTTATTTCAGGTGACACATTCTGCATGACGAATGGCAAATTATTTGCTATGAAGTTTAAAGATAGGAAGGAGGTGACAATCCTTTCATCAGTTTATGACGACAGAATGGTAGACACCGGAAAGCGGGGGAGAGATGGGCAAGACATTAGAAAGCAGGAAATCATCCACAAGTATAACCAATGTATGGGTGGCGTGGATCTTAGTGACCAATTGGTGAAATCTCTGCACTTTGAAAGAAGAAGCTTGAAATGGTGGAAAAAAGTTTTCTTCTGGATGATCTGTAAGTATACTGGTATTTTAACTTAAACTTTTGGTTACTGTACTCCCACTAATTTTCGACGCTATTATATTTCGCGTTTTGGTCATTTTGAAATTTTGCGGCTATTATATTTTGCTATTTTTCAGTTTTTTGAAATTTCGCGGCTATTAATTTCCGCGGATTTGTCATACAAGATCACTCTTCCGACTTCAATATCAGCCATGGTTGTTCCTGCGCCCGATGATTTTGGCTTCTTGTTAAGCCATTTCGTAAGAAATTGAAATTCCCGGGAATTTCCTTGGAATTTTGCGACTATTAAATTTCGCGAATTAGAATTGCTGAAATTTCGCGACTATTATATTTCGCGAATTTTCCAAAACTCGCAAAAAGCGTGAAATATAGTAGCGCACGAAAATTACCGGGAGTTCAGTAATTGAAATAATTAATTAGAATAGGATACTAGTATGCGGGGCATGGTTTCATGTGGAATTTTACATTTTTGTTATTTCATTAAAATTGATGGAGCGATTTTGTTCATATTTTTTCTATATACATTCCTGAAAATATGCCACACGGCATCTAGACCTTTTGATGGATAGACGGCCATCTTGAAAAATGGCTGTCATGGTTGCTTCATTTCACATTCTTTGCTATAACTTAAAAAGTAATGAAGGGATTTCGTATATATTTTATATATACATGTACATTCTTGAAACCACTCCACATGAACCCATACCCTGTCAGGTGATATGGTGGCCATCTTGAAAAATGGTTGGGTCATTTTACATTTTTTGCTATAACTTTATAATGGTACGATTTTGTTCCTATTTTATATATACATTCTTTAAACCACTCCGCATGAACCCATAGCCTCCCAAGTCATATGGTGACCAACTTGAAACATGGCTGCCATTGTTATGTTATTTTTCCTTTTACATAACTATTTACATATAAGTAATTTAGCGATTATGTTTATAGTTTAGAAATAAAAACTTTGAACCATGGCCTTTTTGAATTTATGACCTTTTGATCAACATGGTGGCCATCTTGGAAAATGATGGGCACATAGTTGCGTAATTTTACAATTATGTTGAGACTTCATGAAAACATGTAACAAAACGCACGATCTGTTGACCATTACGGTGGATTTTTGAAAAGATTTGTCATTTGCAGAAGTGGTTTCGTTGGTATCAAATGCAATGATATTTTGAAGTAATATGCACCTTGATGTATATTGTGGTGTTTTAAAGAAATGAACACTGGCAATTATTTAACGAGATATTCTATGGGATTTGCTATGCCGTGGCATTGCAGTTTTCCAGTTTCAACAGTGTACAATAAGTAATGCTAATTTCATTTACTTTTGTTTTAGCTCTGGTCTTGGTGAATGCGTATACTATAGCAAAAATGAGAGGGTTTAGAGGGACACAGAAGCAGTTCAGGTAACAATACATTCATTAAAATACTTTACTTGAATTTACAACAAAGGGGTCGGGTCAAAATATTGATGTCCGTCAAAAAACGTAATTAATTTTGTTAGGGGGGAGAGGGAGTCAAACCCTGATTCCATTAGGTGATGGACATCGACTGGTTTTCCCTGGAATTTCAATTTTCATTTTTGGATTTGTTACAAGGGGCAGGGGGGTTGAGACCTAATAAAATTAATTACGTTTTTTGACGGACATCAATATTTTGACCTGACCCCTAAATGTCATTTAACATGTATATGTATAAGACACATTCATAAATTATGTGTAAAAATCCATGTAAAACTTGGTCGTTTGCTATCAGTTTTATTCATTTCATCTTTTTATTCAATATTCTTCTTGTAGAATATATCTATTATGGATATTGCTTATAAATGGCAATA